TCCTTAATATCATTAAACATCCAGTTAGTGTTCAAATTCACTTACTGTAGGTGTTTTTTGTTCTTTTTTTTGTGAGGAAGATCAGCCCTGAGCTAATATCTGCCAATCCTCCTCTTTTTGCTGAGGAAGACTGGCCCTGGGCTAACATCCATGCCCATCTTCCTCCACTTTATATGTGACGCTGCCACAGCATGGCCCAACAAGCGGTGCGTGGGTGCGCACCCGGGATGCAAACCGAGGAACCTCGGCCGCTGCAGCGGAGCGTGCGCACTTAACCGCTTGCGCCACCGGGCCAGCCCGCCCCACTGTAAATGTTTTTAAATTATAGCTTACTTGTTGAATTAGCATCAAAATAAAGTTCATACATTGCACTCGTATGTTGTTTCTTAATTCCCTTTTAATCTGAGATTTCCCTGCTTGCTCCATTTTTTTTCTTCTTGAATTGGGTGAAATCATCAGTGTGAGTGTGTCAGAATGAGAATGAGAAGAGGGCCAAAGATAGGATCCTGAGGAACATGAAAAGAAGTGGACTCTGCCTTTGAGGAACTTACGGTACTTAGACGTCCTTACCTAGAAACAACACCAAAGTAGTACATCAAGCCAGAGAAGTGTGGCCTGTTGGAAATAGCACTGACCTAGAAGTAAAGAAACCTGGATCTAGTTCCAGCTCCTGCTTACAGCTCTTTAAGTCATTTTCCTTTTTGGGTCTTGGTTTCCTCCTGTTAAATAAGGGGGTTGAATTAAAGATCCTTTTTTTTTTTTTTTTTTTTGTGAGGAACATCAGCCCTGAGCTAACATCCGTGCTAATCCTCCTCTTTTTTTTTGCTGAGGAAGTCCGGCTCTGAGCTAACGTCTATTGCCAATCCTCCTCCTTTTTTGTTTTTTCCCCAAAGCCCCAGTAGATAGTTGTACGTCATAGTTGCACATCCTTCTAGTTGCTGTATGTGGGACGCGGCCTCAGCATGGCCGGAGATGCGGTACGTCGGTGCATGCCCGGGATCTGAACCCAGGCCGCCAGCAGCAGAGCGCGCGCACTTAACCGCTAAGTCACAGGGCCGGCCCTAAAGATCCTTTTAATTCTATGATTTTCTGAGGCATTCAAATAGCAAATATGAAGGAGATCGTTCAATTATTTGATGGTAATTATTGTGCACTTTTGCTAGGTGCCAGGGATATACTGGCAAAATAGATGTAGTCCTTTCTGGAACATATAATATAATGGTGAAAAGCATTAAGAATTGAGGGCTGGCCCCCGTGGCGTAGCAGTTAAGTGTGTGTGATCCGCTGCTGGCGGTCCGGGTTTGGATCCCAGGTGTGCACCAAGGCACTGCGTGTCAGGCCATGCTGTGGCAGTGTCCCATATGAAGTGGAGGAAGATAGGCACAGATGTTAGCCCAGGACCAGTCTTCCTCAGCACAAAAAGGAGGATTGGCATGGATGTTAGCTCAGGGCTGATCTTCCTCCCCCCAAAAAAAAAAAGAATAAGTTCAGCGAGTGGAGAGGAAGAGGCAGCGAAACAGTATGAGCAGAAGTATGGGTAGAAAGGTGCTAGATGTATTTCGGGGTGTAGTGTCTACATTACCTACCTGGAACAAAGGATTGTTGTGTAAAGGAATAGAGAGGTAAGGAAAGGAAATAAACATTTATTGAAAACCTACCAGATGCTCAGTATTTCACGTGTTATTTTAATTCATACAGCCACACCTATGAGATAGTTAGATATTATCCCGATTTTATAGATGAAGAAATTGAAACTCAGATTAAGTTATTTGCCTAAGGTTACCCAGCAAATTAAATGGCAGAACAAGAATTTAAAGCCAAATTTTTAAGCCTCCATTTTTTTTCATTGTACTGTTATGAGTATTATGTATGATCCAAATATTGCCACTTGTTTTATATATACTTGTGTATTACTGATGACTCTCCTTTTTCTCTGCAGGAAATGGGCAGGCTACTAACATGGTCCAGCTACCAGGTGGGAGATTCCAGATGGGAACAAATTCACCAGATGGCAGAGATGGTGAAGGGCCTGTCCGGGAGGTGACAGTAAAACCCTTTGCCATCGACATATTTCCTGTCACCAACAAAGATTTCAGGTACATCCGATGTTCTTCCAGGAGGAGTCAAGTCTCTAATTGTCATTTCTAATATCTAAAAGGAAACTAGCTTGTTCACTGTCACATATCGTCTTTGCAATAGTACTGCAGGATAAGTGTTATCTACATTTTTCAGATGGAAGAATCTGAAATCCAAAGAGGTTTACCTCACTGTCTGTTAGTGGCAGAACTGGGCCTGGAACTCAAATCCCCTGACTCATGAGCCAGTGGATTTTCCATTACACTGGGCAAAGCACTGAGAAATATGGGCAAGAGTCAAACATTCAACAGAAACCTCTTCAACGGGGAGAAAAGATTGGGAGAAGGGTCATACTAGCTGAGAGTCCCTTAAATTCCACTTAGGGAAATGGCCTTGTTAGGAGTCAGACATTATGGTTCTAGTTCAATCTAAGAAGCCATGTTGAGCTGCCTCATTTTCCGCAAGGTGATGTGTTTTGGGTAAGCTAAAGTAGAAAATGATCCAGAAGATATCCGTAAGTTACCTTCAGATGGTACAGGGGGGAATAGAGAGAGAGGAGGGGGAAAGAATGGGGAGGGAACAGAAAAACAAGAAAGCAAATGTAACAAATGACTTAAATGTTACATTTGTGGACTTGAAACTTTTCAAAAAAAAAAATTATGGGGAAAAATTGATTCAGGAGACAGACTGAAATAAGCATAAGGATTGTTCATATATTCTTCAGGCCCTTAGATTTAGTGATTTCACCTCTAGGGATTTATCTTAAGGAAAGAATTAAGGTTGTACAAAAACATTTAGCTAAAAAGATGACATTGTAAAAAAATATTAACAATTTAAGGATCACTTAAACATATTGTATCAACATAGCATAATACTTAGCAGCCATTAAAAATCCTGTTGTGAAAAAGAGAGTTATGAGATGTTAAGTGAAGAAAGTAGTTTACAAAACAATATGTAGGGTATGATCCCATTTTTTAGAACTATGTATATAGAATGTATATGCATTAAAAAAGAACTGAAAGATGCAACATTGCATTAGTTGACGGATTTTGCCCGTGTTTTTTTGACTTCCAAATGAAATAATTCCAGAGAAGCACCTTATTAAAGCTATTTAAAAATCCTGGGTGGTGCGAAGGGGCTAGAATATGGAAGGATATTAGTTGGTGTGATAATTATTTTCTTTTTTTTTTTTTTTTTTACCTTTTCTCATTTTTCTACAATACAATGTGCATTGCACATATTGCTTTTTAAAAGTATTTTTAAACAGGAAAGTTATTAAAATTGAAGGAGAAATCACTTCTGATCAGGCTTGCACCATATCGTGACAACCAGAAATAGCTAGATAGATAGATGCACAGTACGCATTCTTTTGTATCAAATTATGACCTATTATGTGATAGAAATATGTCACCTCCAGCAAGCCCCTGAACTTTGCTTAGAACCCATAATTTGTCTCTGCCTCTCTGGTAGAAGATTCTCAGACTGTTTAGACACTCTGAGATTGGTAAATGGCTATTGCTACCAAATCTGATCACTTCCTCCATTCTCAATGCCCCTTTGATGGGTGAACAATGTCTCCTCATATCAGAGGACTCGCACAGATAGGGTACTGTTAGCCCAATGAAAACAATCCATCTTACCCTGGCAGTCTGCTTGCTGAAATTTGCTAAGCCATACCAAACTATATGAAAATCCATTCTAAAATCTCGGTAAGTCTTCTTTATTTGACTCAGTTTCTTTCATCTGTTAGATGGAGATAATAACACTTCTTCTGCCTTCCTCCCATGATTGTTGTGAGATTAGGTATATGAAGACCTTTCAGAAAAAGAGGCCCATTCCCCACCCTTAAATCTTCTCAGCAGCTTTATTCTTAATCTCCAAAAATGGAGATAACCCAAATGACCTGTAACTGGTGAAAGGATAAACAAAATGTGGTACATCCCATACAGTGGAACCCTA